CTAGGCGTGACGTGTTTTTTTGCACCACGCGTCCGCCAACCCCATAACACAGATGCCCCAATTTTCGTTTTTCAGTTTCTTTCGCTTGCCTTGGTCTTTACCCGCGGGACGTCTTCGTTTGTCTGTCAAGTTTACGTACTGTCCTTCCTGTAAATCTAAAAACTCGAGGGGAAACTGGTGAAAAATGGGCCGAATGAAGCAAAAGTCCGATTTGACGGCTCAAAGGTCTATCCCTTGCCAGTTGCAGCCGACTGGACACCGATCAACAAGTGACCTATCCGGCGATCAGGCGCCTACTTGTTTATTCCGGTCCCTGGACCGGAAACGAGAAATCGGTGGCGACAGAGAAGAACCAAGGGAGGCTTTGGACTGATTCTGAAAGAGCCGCTCTGTCTCTGTCGCGCGCTCGTGGTGCGCATCGTAAGGTTGCGAGAGAGAGAGAGAGAGAGAGAGAGAGAGAGAGAGAGAGAGAGAGAGAGAGAGAGAGAGACAGCCGCGAGTCTTCGCTCGGCTGGCACTGGCTGCGCTGTCGGCGAATTGGACGCGAGTTTCTCCGATCTAATAAACGCGGCACTCCTTTGCGGCCGACGCCCCCCCCCTCCCTCCTCCCTTCCTGCCCCCCGCCTCCCCCATCCCCTCCTGATAGCCTTGGCTTCGGCGGGCGGCAGTGCGGGCAATTAGGATTGTTTCACTTCGGGACGTCTTGCTATGGTCGCACACACTGGAAAAGCGCGTGCTAGAGTCGAGATAATGCGCGTCTAAAAGTCACCCATGCAAATTTTCAGCTCATCTGAGAGAGGTACATTTATTTGGTTCCGCCTGGTGGACTCGTTTTGTCCCATGACGTACATAAATTAACCTTAAATCGGATGGAACCAAAAAATGTAATGGTGATTGGTTTACGGACTCGGTGCATCCAATGAGTAATGAGTGGCGTTTTTTGTGGGAATTCCGTATTTACGTGTTTGTTTCTCTGCTGTTGGCAGTGTGACGGAGTCCCCGGACTGGGAGGCCAACTGCACGCTATGGAACAACGTCACTTTCTGCGGGCCCACGCCCTCGCCCACGCTGCACTACCTCAACATCTCCAAGGAGTACCCCCTGGAGTACGCCCGGCCCATGTAAGCTAGACAGTGCTTCGATTCACCAGCGCTTCCGTGACGGCTTCAAAGCCCTCGACGACCTTCCACTACAAACTGGCATTGTATTTATTACACGACAAACCTAACTGTCTACTATGTACACGCTTAAGTACACACTTACAAACGCCTATGCTTAGCATGGAGTTATACGGCGCAAAGAATGCGTTTGTAAATGTGTACTTGCCAAAGCATGCATTTGTAAGTGTGTACTTGGCCAAGCATGCGTTTGTAAGTGCGTACTTAATAGACAGTTAGGTTTGTAGTGTACGTCTCGAAAAGCGATGTGGTACGCAATGTCAAGCCATGAGATTAGGGCTGGTTAAGCGTAGCTCAATTTTCATTTCCGATTTTCCCCCTTTTCCTCCCCGAACCAAAGCCGTGTCGTGACGCGAGTGTGTGTGTGTTGCAGGTACGGCTTCATCACCCCGGTGTTCCTGGTCATCACCATCGTGGCCAACACGCTGATCGTGGTGGTGCTGTCCAAGCGGCACATGCGCACCTCCACCAACGCCGTCCTCATGGCCATGGCCCTCTCCGACATGTTCACCCTGCTGTTCCCCGCGCCCTGGCTCTTCTACATGTACACGTTCGGCAACCACTACAAGCCCCTGTCCCCCGTCAGCGCCTGCTTCGCCTGGACCGCCATGAATGAGGTCAGCATGAAAGACGGCCGACGTGAAACATGTTGGTGCGTTCGACGGACGAGCGAAAGCCAGCGCGAAAGCCCGCACAAAGTCCCTCAACAAGCTGGCTGAAGCAATAAGGTGTTGTTATTGGCCGCAGAGGGCTTGCAGCCCGCCCTACCGTCAGGACGCCCACCGCGAACAACGCGTCCCACCGACACACACACACACACACACACACACACACACACACACAGAGCTGGCTGCGAATATTAAAGCTACCTGGTGTGGCGGGCCCGAGCTGCCGCTGCGATAGCAACTGGCGAGCAAGGCTCGCGCTCAAAATTTCATGAAACTCAGAATGCGCGCGCCACGCGGATGCTCTGCTGAGTAATCAGGACTCGTCCCGGCGCGACACATGCGCAGTACACTCGAAAAGAAAACGAAAAAGTCGTCTCGCTGCAGCTATTGCGAGTGTCAGATGCACCGCCGCGTCAGGTTCGCAGAATCCAGGCGGCAGTTGAAAGTTTTGCCAAGTTCTCTCGCTCCCTTTTCTTTTTGAACGCATGAGTTATTCTCTTTGGTCTGAGGAAACGTTCCAGTTCTTCGTGTGGGACCGGTCATCGTTTAGGAAAAACGTTTTTTCAAGCGAGTGTGTTATTGTCGGCCGAGTCTCCCCTACTTTTCCCCCTTCCCCCCCCCTTCCCCCTCCCCCTGCCCCCCCTCTCCCCCCTTTTCCCCCTTCCTCCTCCCCCTTTCTGCGAGTGGTGCGCCTCTCCCCGCGATCGCGCTGCGCAGGCTGTAAAGTGAGCAACATCACGTCCTGCGGACTCACAGAGACACACGCACCTGCAGCCGCCTGCAGGACCATCTGGCTCATGGGCCGTGTCGGCAGGATGCTGCAGGATGCTGCGGTGGACATCTGCCGCGTCTTGTCCATCCGCTACACTGGCTGCGGCTACACCACTGTTGCCAGATAATAAGGCCCGAATTCCAAGGATGCACCAGTGTCCGAAGGGTCGCCAACCGACCGCAGCCTGCCTTCACCGCATGCAACTCCCGCCACCCACAAAGGCTTCAGTCTCAAAGAGTTTATTATTGCTGAGGTTGGCACCCCTTTCGCTGCGGGGGAATTTCCCGACTTATCCGACTGGCCTGCTGATGTGGCGACACTGTGGCGACGAGTTGCGTCCAGTCGTGACGGGCACCGCCGCGCCGGAATAACTGGAACAACCCGGACTTCGCTCAGCGCCGTGCCACGCGCCGTGCCACGCCGTGCCACGCCGTGCACTCGGCAACGAGTGGCGCGCTGTCGATGGCACAATGGCCGGCTCCATCGCTCTGTCCCTCTCGCTCTCACGGGGCGTCCCGTACGGGCGCGAGAGAGACAGAGCGATGAAAACGACTCTCTGCTGCGCCCTGCGCGCGCCGAGCGCGACGAGGACCGTGCCCTCGTGATTCCGAGGGTCGTTGTCGTCGCTCTGTCTCCGTCGCACACACGGGGCCTCCCGCATGGGTGCGAGAGAGACAGAGCGACGAAAAAGGACTCTTGGAATCGGTTTGCAGGATAGGGCTGGCGTTTTGTCCGGGGCTCGTTGAGCTCGCCGTCGAGGGCCGGGCCCGCCAACCAGTGACGTTTCCGATACAACCGCACGTCCCTTCGGCATGCACGGCCTGTTTCACCGACCCGTTTTTCCATTGTAATCACCGAAAGCGATGATGAATCGACGATGAATTCGGTGGAACTGGTTTTTCCGGCGGTGTGCTTTCGAGGTGGTTGTTTAAGTCGCCGCGGGGCGCTTGGGGCGTGCACAGTGGGCCAGAAGACCGGTGGAGGCGTACAAAACTCTAGACGCGTTTTGAGCTCCAGAGTCGCTGAATGGGACTCGAACCGAACGTGTAACCCCATCAATGGATTCCACGTTCGGAGAGCAATCCATTGATGGGGTCACACGTTCGGTTCAAGTCCCATTTAGCGACTCTGGAGCTCAAGACGCGTCTAGAGTTTTGTCCGCCTCCACCGGTCTTCTGGCCCACTGTGGGGCGTTCGCCTCGTTCCGCTGGGGAGCTTTAGCAGTGGCGGCTCCGTGGCCCCTGGAATGCCTCGGTGGCGTTTGAGTGACACGGCCAACACGGTGGGGCCAACACGGCGGGGCAGGTATTCGTGTTTCCCCGCGGGCAGAGACGCAGACGCCCGCCGCGAGAAGCCGAGCGCGCAGTATCACGGCATGCCGCGTCTCTGTCGCACCCACGGGGCGGCCCGGGGCACAGTGGGCCAGAAGACCGGTGGAGGCGGCCAAAACTCTGGACGCGTTTTTAGCTCCAGAGTCGCTAAATGGTACTCGAGCCGACCGTGTGACCCCACCAATGGATTGCTCTCCGAACGAGCAATCCATTGGTGGGGTCACACGCTCGGTTCGAGTCCTGTTTAGCGACTCTGGAGCTCAAAACGCGTCTAGAATTTTGGCCGCCTCCACCGGTCTTCTGGCCCACTGTGCGCGAGTGCGACAGAGACAGCAAGCTTCGCCTTTGCAGGTGCTGCCCGCCATGTTCCACACGGCGTCCATCTGGCTGACGCTGGGGCTGGCGCTGCAGCGCTACATCTACGTGTGCCACGCGCCCGTGGCGCGCACCTACTGCAACATGCCGCGCGTCCTCAAGTGCATCGGCGTCATCTTCATGGCGGCCGCCTTCCACCAGGCGCCGCGCCTCTTCGACCGCGCCTACCGCCCCGTCACCATCAACTGGGAGGGCAACCCCAACGTGGTCGTCTGCAAGGTGCGTGCAGCACACACTACCAACCTAACTGTCTACTAAGTACACACTTACAAATGCATGCTTGCTAGTACACACTTACAAACGCATGCTTGACGCATGCACTTATACGGCGTCAAGCATGCGTTTGTAATTGTGTACTTCTTGCAAGCATGCATTTGTAAGTGTGTACTTCTCCAAGCATGCGTTTGTAAGTGTGTACTTGCAAGCATGCATTTGTAGGTGTGTACTTAGTAGACAGTTAGGTTTGCACTGTACGGTCTTTAGAAGTCTTGGGCGTTCAGGGAGGCTTTTGACGGTGACTAGATTGGACGCAGTGGCTACCCAAATTCAGCAAAAACGTCTACTTGCGGGATTTCTGATTCACCAGGCGGCGTGGCGCCTGCATGTGTCGGGGTAGGCAATCCCGCAGACGCGCGTGCTTAACGGGACTGCCTACCCACCATTACCATTAAGGGCTAGACAGGCGCTCGTCGCCCACACTGTCCTGACGCCCTCTCTCCCTGCCGCAGGTGGACATGGCGTGGTGGGTGACGCACTTCCTCACCATCGACGTGTACTTCTTCAGCTACTACATGTTCCGCGTGCTGTTCGTGCACCTGCTGCCCTGCATCTCGCTGGTGGTGCTGAACGTGCTGCTGTTCCGCGCGCTGCGCCAGGCGCAGGACAAGCGCGCCACGCTGCTCAAGGAGAACCGGAAGTCCGAGTGCCGCAAGCTGCGGGACTCCAACTGCACCACGCTCATGCTCATCGTGGTGGTCACGGTGCGTACACACTGTGAGGAAAAAAGTACGGAAAAAGTACGGAACATGTCTGTGGTCAATAATTTGCCTGGAACGTCCGTACTTGCCACCTTACGGAACGTTCCGTACTTTTTTTCCGTACCCATGTACATGGGTTCATAATGGAGCAAGTACGGAACGTTCCGTACTTTTCTCCGTACCTCCGTACTATATTTTTCTGTACCATTTCCGTACAAAGGTACGGAATTTTCTACAGTGTAGGGGATTTGCCGCCACAAGGCCCGTGGAGGCGACTGAAACTCGAGACGCGTTTTGGGCTCCAGAGTCGCTAAACAGGACTCGAATCGAACGTGTGACCCCACCAATGGATTCCTCGTTGGGAGAGCAATTCGTTGGTGGGGTCACAAGCTCGATTCGAGTCCCATTTAGCGACACTGGAGCTCAAAACGGGTCTAGAATTTTGACCGCCCACTGTGCACCGCAATCTGAGCACTACTACAGGCAGGCCCAAAAATTAAGCGGCTGTTGGTCCGAAGCGTCGGCTAATTTCAAACATAAAGTTCCCGCTCTGGAAAGTTGGATCAAAGCTCCTGCCCCCTTCCAGCTTTCCCCCACGCAATACACGCCGCTTGCTCTGCTGCAGGTGTTCCTGCTGGTGGAGATCCCCCTGGCCGTCGTGACCATCCTGCACATCATCTCGTCCAGCGTCAAGGAGATCCTCAACTACACCATCGTCAACACGCTCATCCTGTTCACCAACTTCTTCATCATCGTGTCCTACCCCATCAACTTCGCCATCTACTGCGGCATGTCGCGCCAGTTCCGGGAGACGTTCCGGGAGCTCTTCCTCAACGGCAACAACGGCCCCACCAAGACGCGGCGCGGCAAGCGCCTCAACAACCGGCCGACGGGCGGCGGCGCCGAGTCCTCGCACTACACCCTGGTGCACAACGGGCCGAACGGGCCGCGCTCCTGCACCGAGACCGCGCTGTAGGCCGGCTGTGTGTGCGAGGGTAGAATGTGTGAGTGTGTTGGTTTGTGTGCGTGTGTGTATTGCGAGAGTGTGTGTGTGTGTGAGTGTGTGTGTGTTAGTGTCGGTTAGTGTGCTGCTGAGCTGTCAAATAGCTGGAGTCAGGTTTGCCCGCGGTTGACGTTTTTCAATGGAAAGACTGCTGCAGTTTTAGGAACACGTTGTGACTTACTTCGCCACCAACTATGAAGAAAAGCAAGCAGGGCTTTCTGAGTATTTTTTTTTTTTTTGCTTTGTAAATAAATGCGCGTCGGGCATGTTTGCCTCTGTGTTGAACGGCAAAAAAGCACGGCATGACAGTACGTATCTGCGGACAGTCTTTGGCGGGAAGACCATGGCTTGTCCTTCCAATTGGGAATAGGGGTTGGTATGTTGTGAGGTATGCGACTCAATAAAAACGTGGTTTCGTTTTGTAATCAATTTGTCCTACTTGTTTATTGGAGGGTGTACCTACTGACGTCATATCAGACAAGAATGCTGGCATACCAAAACGAATTTAACAATATTTTTGTTGTTGTCTTAACTATTTTGCATTGTGTATATAGCTTGCGTGAAAGATTTGTGAAATGCCATATTTACGACAAAAAATGTTATTGACTGTGAATTGAAATTGTGGATATTGTTGAAATTGTAAACATCCCATTTTATTGTTGTTATGTTTTTTTTTTATTTTTTTTTTTATTTTTAAGAAAGCAGCGGTGTACAGAAAAAATGCGTTTGACGCGTCCAGATGTCTGTAGTCCACTGAACCACTACCTTTCCCATCAATATAAAATATGTGTTAACACTCAGCCAAGTTTTTCCCCGTTCATATAAAAAGACTATAATAGAGCGCAGAGTCAATGACACACTTATACTTTGCTTCTGTTTCTATGCTTATATATACATCGCAGACTCTATTTTGCTCCGCCGGGACTATATGATTAATGTTACGTTTTGTGTACTTATTGAAGATTTTACTACGATACAAGATAAAAATTGAAATATAACATGATATATTCTCGTCATCACGATGCGTTACTTTAAATATATTAAGAATTGTTCTAGACTAGTAAATGGCAAACATTTGTGTGCTCTTAGACTATGAATGTTCCTTGAGTACGTTTGGAAACTGCCGTGTGTGATTTGTGACTTAATTCTGCGAGTGTGTCGGGGTGCTTGGTATACAAATCTAGAATTTAGACCATGCAGTGTTTGCAAATGAACGCGTGTTATGGTGTTCTTCCTTTAACTGTCACAAAATGAGAAGAAAATTTAACTATATAGTGCCATGTAGTCACGATTCCCTGCGTCCAGACTCCTCCTCTCGGGCGACCGGAGGAATAGAGAACTGAGAGGAAGTAACTTTGCATTGAAGGGCGAGGAGGAATTCATTTGATTGCCTGTCCTTACGAAACGTTTCAAAAATGTTTAAAGCCCTGTTGTCTTCTTCCCTGTCTCTATTGGATGTGACTGAATCACATGGCACGGGTCTTACCTCCCCAGTGCTTAGATATGTGTTTTTAAGAAGTAGTTAGGTGGATGCCCAGTTACTAACTTAGATATCTGACAAAAATGTCCGACGGCACGTGTGTGCGATGCCAAACCCCTCTTCATTTAATGGCTTCTTTTAGAGAAACTGTCTCTAAAATCAGAGCACGTCTATTTGCTCAAATTTAGCTCTTCCCATTTCAAGTGGGCGCTTCGTTACTGTGGTCGTTGATAATATTTTTTCAAGTCAAATACCTTGTTTTCACTCTTAGAACTTTCTGTCGGTTTTTTCTGATGATTTCTTGTTTGTTCTAAAATGAATGTAAATAGCTCCATGTCGTATATGTCGATTTCTTTTTCAATGTCATATTGCACAAACATCGCCAAGCTGTTGGGAGTTTGTAATCTCGAATAATACATTCTGTTACCCTGAGGTGAGTGGGTAATTTACACCTACAATGTTGTTCATTTCTTCTGAATGTATTGCCAGGTTTTGGAGCCTAAGTTCGCGCTTGAAACAACTCAGACATTGTAATGTATTACCAATTTTATGAGCAAAAATTGAACGACGCTTTGCGCGGCTTCTTCAATCAAGTCATTGGTTGCGATATTTGAGTTCGATTGGCTGGGCCATTTTGAGACGGGCATAAACAGTATATGAAATCAAAGCTTGAGAAGCGTTTACAAGATTCGCTCCGATAGTGCCGCTGTGTAAGACCTCGTGTGTTGCTATACGTAATTTTTTGGACACACACGAGGACGACCTCGGTGCACTCTGGGGGGCTCGCACCAACTTGTTCTGACATTGTGTGATGGCTGGTTGTGATTATGTTGATTGTGATGTCGATGGCTTTGATATGTTTAGGCATAATATAGCTATGTCTATGAATATGAATAGGTACATCGAGCCACGAAGCTGTTGCTGAGACTGTGCAATGAATATATATGAATAAATATAGAGGAACAAAATAAACTTCTCCAAAATTATGAAACTGCTGCTTCTCGATTCGAAACCCCAGTGACAGATTTTTCAGAAAAGCTGGCGCTCTTCCCCTCACTTTCCCATGCGAAACGCGGTGAATTTCTCGGTAGGTTTCTTCGAAGCGATGCTTCGCACGAGTTTTCCAGTGGGTTAGCCAGCAGCAACGCGCTCTTTTCCAGGTGGGGCGCGGTACAACAGCGTGCTCAAAAATTGAAGCGTAAAGTGCTTGCCCTGAAACGGCCGGGGCCGCGACGCCGCGACAGGCTGGCCAAGCCAAGCCAAGAAGGCGAGGCAAGCCCGCCAAAGCCAGCAATGCATTATTGTTGGCGCCATAACAACAGAAGCACGGCGGGCACGGCGGCTCCGAGTCCGCTCTCCCCATGACGGGGGCCTGCCTGCGCCGCCTGCCCAGCGCGCCCTGCCGGCCCTGCCTCCGCGCGCAGCCGGCGCAGCCCGCGGGGAGCCTAGAGGGGAACCCCACGGACCGGCCGCACTGCCCGGGGTGACCCGCAGCCACCGCCGTCGCGCCGCCCGCCCCGCCCGCGCCGCTAGCGCCGCCAGGCAGCAGCAGACATGGTGAGCGCGTGCGCCTAAAGTGGCTTTCTTTCCACATTAACAAAAAAAGAAGAAACAAACAGACGAAAACAACGTCGGCCACATTAAGGTCTCAGCCGGCCGTGCTTACAGTGTTTCCGTTCCCCCACCCCCACCCCACTCGTCAGAAAAGAAAAAAGTTTCCACCGAAAGAAACGACACGTCGAGAGAGGCGGTCACTCACATTTTTTTTATGGCGAAAGAAGCGTCTTAAGCGGCCTGATACTCCGAAAAAAAAAAACATAACAAAAACAGCTAAAACATCCTTGCGAGACGCTGATTTACTTTCTTGTCCGCGGCTGCTTTCCCAGGAGGACCTGCGCGCCGAGCTGGAGCGCGTGGACGCCAACGCGCATCAGGCGCCGGTGGACATCAACATGGCCGACACGGTGCCCGTCGCCGTGCCGGACCTGGCCTACCAGAACTACGGCAGCACGCCCACCAAGATGAAGCTGAACAACACGGGCTTCACCGGTACGCACAGTGGGCCAGAAGACCGGTGGAGGCGGCCAAAACTCTAGACGCGTTTTGAGCTCCAGAGTCGCTAAACAGGCTCGTACGTGTCACCTCACCAATGGATTCCTCGTTCGGAGAGCAATCCATTGGTGGGGTCACACGTTCGGTTCGAGTCCCATTAAGCGACTCTGGAGCTCAAAACGCGTCCGGGATTTTGGCCGCCTCCACCGGTCTTCTGGTCCACTGTGCACCGCGCTCTGTCTCTCTCGCACCACTACGGTACGCCCCGTGAGTGCGAGGGAGACAGCGCAATGGCCTTGTCGCAGTGACGGTGAGCGGCAAGTTCGACGGCGACCCCCCGACCATCAGTGGCGGCCCGCTGGACGGCACCTACAAGTTCTCCCAGCTGCATTTCCACTGGGGGCCCAACGACGGCGAGGGCAGCGAACACACGTTTGAAGGGCGCAGGTACGCGCCGTGGATACCCCCCGCCCTCCATGTAGATACCCCCCGCCATCCATGTTGATACCCCCCGGATACCGGGACAACAAGTAGCGAAAAAATGGCTACTGTGGGCTGACGTGTGTGAGTGCGCGCGCACAACTGGCACTTGAAGGTCGCTCGTTAGAAACAACAGTCCTTAAACCAGTGGATAACCACGTTTTGACCCCTGCCGTTTGGCAAACTGCCGCACATAACCTGCATTTTAGTATGTAGGCCCCCACCTCCCTGCCCGCTTTATGGACGGACCCTAAATTCGAAACGGAGAGGGGGGCGGGGCCTCGCGATCGGGATTTGTGCCCACACCAGTGATTTCGGTTTGGCAGTGTGCCGCTGGAGATGCACATGGTGCACGTGAACCAGAAATACGCCACGCAGGAGGAGGCCCTGCTCAAGAAGGACGGCGTCGTCATTCTGGCCTTCCTCTTCACCGTACGTGCAGCGAGAGTGGGGGAGGGGGAGGGAGGGGTGAAACGACTTCCGAATGGTTTCATTGTTTCCAGAGCGGCGCGAAGCACGCCGGTCTGGACGGCGTGGCGCGCGGGCTGGCCGAGATCACCAAGCCGCACACCTCCTTCAAGATCAGCCCGCAGTCGCTGCAGTCGCTGTGCGCGCCCTTCCAGCGCGACTACTTCTCGTACTGGGGCTCCGTCATCAGCCCCTCGTGCTCGCACCTCATCCAGTGGCTCATCAGCCGCACCCCGCTGTCGGTCGCCCCCGACCAGGTGCACCACCACCCCGCACAGTGGGCCAGAAGACCGGTGGAGGCGGACAAAACTCCAGACGCGTTTCGAGCTCTACAGTCGCTTAGTGTGACTCGAACCGAACGTGTGACCCCACCAATGGATTGCTCTCCGAACGAGGAATCCATTGGTGGGGTCACACGTTCGGTTCAAGGCCTGTTTAGCGACTCTGGAGCTCAAAACGCGTCTAGAGTTTTGTCCGGCTCCACCGGTTTTCTGGCCCACTGCGCCCCGTCCTTGTCGCGCTCACGCGGTGGTCCGTGTGGGAGCGAGAGAGACAGAGCGAGCACGGCGTCCACTGTGCAGGTGGCCGCCTTCCGGCAGCTGCTGAACGTCAACGAGGAGCCGCTGCTGCGCAACTACCGCGACGCGCAGCCGCTGCAGGGCCGCACCATCTTCCACCTGGCGCCCGGCAGCCGGGACGGCTTCTCCCTCAACTGCGGCCGCGAGCAGACGTGCGCCGCGGGGGAGGGCCGCCCGGCGCCCGGCACGGACGTGAGCGCCCTCAGCGTGGAGGGGCCCTGCACAAGCCTGGGCGAGGCGGAGAGCAAGGGCGTGGTGGCCGTGGGCGCCGAGGGGTGAGCGCGCCTGTTTCGTAATGCTTCGCTTCGCTTCCCCGGCGGCCTCTCTCTCTCGCGCCCGTACGGGACGCCCCGTGAGTGCGAGAGAGACAGAGCGACCAGGACTGAGTCCCTTGTTCGCGCAGCGAGGTGCAGAAGACCGAGTCTGGCCGCGAGCTGGTGAAGACGCCGTCAGGGCGCCTCCTGGAGAGGACACCTTCGGGGCGCCTGGTGGAGCGGACGCCGTCGGGGCACCTGCTGGAGAGGACGCCGTCGGGGCGGCTGCTGGAGAAGACCCCGTCCGGGCGGCTGCTGGAGAGGACGCCGTCAGGCCGGATGGTGGAGGCGACCCCCGGCGCGCAGAGGACGCCCTCGGGCCGCCTGCTGGAGAAGACCCCCTCCGGCAGGATGGTGCAGAGGACGCCGTCGGGCCGGCTGCTGGAGAGGACGCCGTCCGGGCACTACATGGAGAGGACGCCGTCGGGCCGGCTGCTGGAGACGACGCCGTCGGGCCGCGTCCTGGAGAAGACGCCCTCGGGGCACCTGATGACGAGGACGCCGTCGGGCAACCTGATGCCGGCCGAGCGGTCCGACGTGCCGAGCGTGGAGATCACGCCGTCGGGCCACGAGCTGACCAGGACGCCGTCGGGCCGGCTGGTGCAGACCACGCCGTCGGGGCACGTGCTGGAGAGGACCCCGTCCGGGCACTACGTGGAGAGGACGCCGTCAGGGAAGTTGGCCGGCCACGTCTCGGAGCCCAAGCTCCTGGACACCACGGCGGAGGGCGAGGGCGCCGCCGGGGCCGGGCCTGGCGCGGGGGACAAGCCTGCCGACGCCGAGCGGCGCGTCGAGACCACGCCCTCCGGCAGGCTGGTGTCCAGGACCGCCTCGGGCCGGGTGGGCATGGGCTCCAGGGTGGTCAGCTTCTCCAACCTCACCGGCCCCGTCAAGGAACGATCAGGTTGTGGGAGAGCGGCAGTGGCGCCGGTTCGCTGGTTCGAGCCATCACTAACGCCCTCACTGACCCCCAGCCAGTGACTGGCCCGACGCGCCCTACGAGGGCCCGGCCACCGGGTCGCCGGTCTTCCTGGACACGAACCAGGCCGTGCGCCTGCCCTGCCCGCCGCTCGAGTTCCTGGGCCACTTCCAGAAGGGCGTCGGCCTGGTGCTCACCAACAGCGGGGAGACCGGTACGCTGCACTGTTAGAGGGGAAAATCGAGATCTCGAAATCGGAGTCGGTTAATGTTGTTTTGGCGCGGCCAGTGGAGATCAGCCTGCTGAAGGGCACGGAGCGGCCCGTGCTGCAGGGCGGCCCACTGCAGGGCCGCTACATCCTGGACTCGGCGCACTTCCACTGGCTGCCCAACGACGACGCCGTCGGCGGCACGCACACCATCAACAGCGCAAGGTGGGCGGCCCCCGCGGCCTGGACACACAAAAATGAAAAAAAAAATTGGTAAACAGTACAAAATCGGCCTGCTCTCAGGTCCGAGATCGAGTGCCACTTAGTGCACATCCACGAGAACTACAAGAGCAAGACGGAGGCCATGGACCACCCCAACGGGCTGGCCGTCGTCAGCGTGCTCCACCAGGTGGGAGTCCGTCTTTGTTTTTGTTGTTATCAACTTGAAACGCAGAGAGAGAGAGAGGAGAGAGAGAGAGAGAGAGAGAGAGAGAGAGAGAGAGAGAGAGAGAGAGAGAGATAGAGAGAGGGAGAGAGAAAGAGATATGCACGGTGGGTCCTCGCCAGGTCGGCGGCGCGGAGTGCGACGTGTTCATGCGGCTGTGCAAGGAGCTGCCGCGCATCAACGAGCTGTACACGCAAGTGGAGCTGCCGGGCCTCGACCTGTCCTACATGTCGTCCGTCGTCAAGCCGCACGAGTACTTCATGTACCCGGGCCGCTTCTTCGGCCGCGAGGACGGCAAGGCGCTCGTGTGGATCGTCTTCCCGCAGGCCATCGGCATCTGCTGCCAGAACGTGAGTAGCGTGGCGGCAAGCGCCTTGGAGGTAGGCCGCGGCAGGCACGCGTGACGAGTGGGTTGCCTACACTGTGGTCGCAAGGCGCGTACTGCGTCCTGGTGCACAGTGGACCAGAAGACCGGTGGAGGCGGCCAAATTTCTGGACGCGTTTTCAGCTCCAGTGTCGCTAAATGGGACTCGAACCGAACGTGTGACCCCACCAATGGGTTGCTCGTTCGGAGAGCAATCCATTGGTGGGGTCACACGTTCGGTTCGAGTCCCATTTAGCGACTCTGGAGCTCAAAACGCGTCTCGAACTTTGGCCGCTTCCACCGGTCTTCTGGCCCACTGCGTGGTGCCCTGCAGTCAGGACGTGGTCGTTCGGTTTCCGCGCGCAGGTGGCGGCGTTCCAGGCGCTGCGGCTGTCGCTGGACTTCCGGCAGCACGACACGTACCCGCTGGGCGGCCGGCCCCTGTACGCCGTGGTGAAGGAGGGCGCGGGCGGCGGCGGCGCGGGCGACGAGGACGTGGCCGTCGGCGACCTGCGGCGCACGGCCTCGGGCCGCGTCATGGCCCTGCGCCCCGACGAGTGGCCCAACGCGCCCTTCGCGTCCAAGCACGAGATCCTGATGGCGCCGCTGGACATCAAGACCTCCGCCGTGCCCAGCATCCCCATGCCGCCCCTCGAGTACCGCGGCCACTTCGGCGCGGCCGCCGTCCCCGTCGAGATGCGCAACACCGGCGAAGCGAGTGAGAGAGAGAGAGAGAGAGAGAGAGAGAGAGAGAGAGAGAGAGAAGAGAGAGAATTCACTTACAGTGTAACGCTGCCGTAAGCCCCGCGCCGTTTTATTCAGAGGGATGTAGTCGCCCGAAATCCGATCGCGTCCCTTTCCCCCGAGGCCCTCGCCGGCAGGCCCTCGCCTCGTCGCTCTGTCTCTCTCGCACCCCGGCGGGACGCCCCGTGGCCGTGAGAGGGAGAGAGACGCACAGTGGGCCAGAAGACCGGTGGAGGCGGCCAAAACTCTAGACGCGTTTTGAGCTCCAGAGACGCTAAATAGAACTCGATCCAAACAGGTGACCCCACCAATGGGTTCCTCGTTCGGAGAGCAATCCATTGGTGGGGTCACACGTTCGGCTCGAGGCCTGTTTAGCGACTCTGGAGCTCAAAACGCGTCTAAGAGTTTTGGCCGCCTCCACCGGTCTTCTGGCCCACTGTGCGACGAGGGGCTGTTGGGAGGAGTCCGTTCCTTGTAACTGACGCGCCACGTGGCCGCTGGCCGCCCGCTGCCGCCAGTCGACATCACGTGGAAGGAGGGCGTGCCCGTGCCCGTGCTGGCGGGCGGCCCGCTCACGGACGAGTACGTCTTCGACTCCGCGCACTTCCACTGGGCGCAGAACCCGGACGACGTCGGCGCCATGCACCGCATCAACGGCAAGAGGTGCGCGACACTGGAGAGCTAGTGGATCCAGCAGGGAGGCGCAGAAGTTGTCTATTTATTTACAAGGGGCAAAGCGAGACTTTTTGCCTACCTATCTGGCCCCGTCGCCGCCTCCCTGGATCCGCGCCTGTCTCCAAAGCAAACTAAACTTTGACTGAACTGGCGCGGCCGCCTCGCCACTGCGATAAATCACGGGTTGTCAACAGGTGCGACTTGGAGTTCCACCTGGTGCACTACAAGAAGAGCCTCAAGACGAGGCAGGACGCCATGTTCCAGTCGGACGGTCTGGCCGTCACCAGCTTCCTCATTCAAGTGCGACCTGGATTTTTTTTTTTAAGGAAAATTGCGTTGGGCCACAGTGGGCCAGAAGACCGGCGGAGGCGGCCGAAACTCTAGACGCATTTTGAGCTCCAGAGTCGCTAAATGGGACTCGAACCGAACGTGTGACCCGACGAATGGATTGCTCTCCGAACGAGGAATCCATTAGTGGGGTCACACGTTCGGTTCGAGTCGTGTTTAGCGACTCTGGAGCTCAAAGCGCGTCTCGAGTTTTGGCCGCCTCCGCCGGTCTTCTGGCCCACTGTGCGGGCCACTGTTGAAACGACTGGCCGGTCCACTGTGCAGGTGGGCGGTACGGAGAACGAGAGCTTTGCCAAGCTGTCCGACGTGCTGGGCGAGGTGAAGGAGGTGGACGCCTCCATGGAGCTCAACTTCCGGCTGGACTGGCTGCAGAGTCGCGCCGGGCCGCACGGTTTCTTCACGTACCCGGGCACGCTGTTCGGCGCGGACCAGGGCATCAACGTCATCTGGATGGTGTACCCCACGCCCGTGCAGATCTGCTGCCAGCACGTGGGTGCACTGTGGAACTGAGTGGCGCTACCCCGTGCGGACGGCGCGGCGCGAGCGCGGGGTATTCCCGGCGTGGGAGTGTAATGCCGTTCGTTTGACTACAGGTGGCCGGCTTCTACAAGCTGGACTGCCTGGAGTACAACCGGGTTCACCCTCTGCACGAGCTCCTGGACAGGCCCATCTTCCACTCCATCAACCCGGACAACTGCGTCACCTAGTTCTTTTTAAGCGTTTTAACAATCTCTGGGCGTGTTCAACCACTTTTCGGCGGCACGGCGCCCTCTGTAACGCGCACCGAAAAAATAAAAAAAAGCGTCCTTTCTTGTTTCGGCGAACGAACGCCGATGCTGCAGCGGTCTTTTACAAATTCTCCCGATTATTTCTGTGTCGTCTTAAGGCATGAGCTTGTCTTTGCGTCGTCTGCACTTTCCGACCGCTGGAGGAGCAGGGCCCTTTCCTAGGTGCTTTTGCACCTTTCAAGGTTCCGTCGGCTCACAGTGGGCCAGAAGACCGGTGGAGGCGGCCAAAACTCCAGACGCGTTTTGAGCTCCAGAGTCGCTAAACAGGACTCGAACCGAACGTGTGACCCCACCAATGGACTGCTCTCCGAACGAGGAATCCATTGATGGGGTCACACGCTCGCTCCGAGTCCTGTTTAGCGACTCTGGAGCTCAAAACGCGTCTCGAGTTTGGGCCGTCTCCACCGGTCTTCTGGCCCACTGTGCGGCTCGTGGAAAGTGCATGAACTGCAAGAATGAGTCCCAGCGGCTGACACGTTCAGCCACCCAACCCTGTCCCCCGTCTCGCCCCCAGGCTCCCAGGCTCCGTGCCCCAGGCGGCTCCACCAGCCCGAGTGATTCCGAGGAGCGTTTCGTGGCTCTCTCTCTAGCATGCACACGGAACGCCCGCCGAGCGCGAGAGAGACAGACGAAAGCGATGTTGAGGATCGCTCTGCCGAGGCGTCGGAGCGGGCTGCCGCCTGCCGCCCTCCGGCTGGTTCCGAGAGGTCTGTCTCTCTCGCACTCACGGGGCGCTCCGTATGGGAGAGCGAGAGAGACAGTGGCGCACAGTGGGCCAGAAGACCGGTGGAGGCGGCCAAAACTCTAGACGCGTTTTGAGCTCCAGAGTCGCTAAATGGGACTCGAATCGAACGTGTGACCCCACCAATGGGTTCCTCGTTCGGAGAGCAATCCATTGGTGGGGTCACACGTTCGGTTCGAGTCCTGTTTAGCGACTCTGGAGCTCAAAACGCGCCTAAGAGTTTCGGCCGCCTCCACCGGTCTTCTGGCCCACTGTGCGGCGCCCTCTCGGATCCAGCCGGGGAGGATGGGGAGCGAGCAGCGGAGCAGCAGCAGTGGTTATCGACCGACCGACGCGCGGTCGCGACTCGGGTCGGCGTCGGCCCTCGGCCCGGCCGCCAGACTGATTCCGCGTCGCGTCGCTCCGTCTCTCTCGCACTCACGCGGACTACGGCACGCCCCCCGTGAGTGCGAGGGAGACGGGCAGCCGGCCGGGCCACCTCCGCGAACCTGGCGGCGCCCGGCCCCGCCGCAAGCCCCTGCCTTTCGCTTTCCGTAGGCCCGCCGAGCTTGGCGATCACCGCTGCAAACTACACCGTCGAAACTGAAGCGATCTCCAAATCTATGGCAAATGATGCTTCTATGAAGCGGAAGCAGTCTACCTTGCGAATGCAATCTTTCGACATTTGTCCAAAATTGAATGTTCATGAAACGAGAGGACTCCAGGTAATCCGCGGTCGCAGAGTTGCTCAGTGGATCTTCTCCTCCTCTGCGTGCTCCTTGTGATGTTTCTTCCTCCGTCCCCGCACTCGCAGCGCAGCCAGCACCGCGGTCCTCCTCCTTCCGTGCCAGGGAACACTTTCCTTGATCAGATTCAAGCGGTGATGTAACTGCAGGGGCAGGGACCCGGAAAGCACGGGGGGGGGGGGAATCTTGACCTGCCTCACACCAGTGCCCCACTGGGCCCACTCGCTGGGGTCCGGCCGGCCTGTGCTGTGCGGGGGCGGGGCGGGGCGGGGCGCCCGCTGGACACGCGTTTTGTCCACGGGGCCCCCTCGGCCTCCCGGGCAGCGCCATCGCCGTCGTCGTGTTTGGTAAGGTGGGCAATCGCTGCCCCCACGGATTGCACACGACGAATAAAGAATAAAGCGGAGTGCGTGGTTTTGGCAAGGCCGCCCGGCGTTCGGCGGGCCGCGGGCGCCGCGGAGCACTGCAAAATCCCACTGACCCATTTACACACGCACACAAACACACACACACGCATACACACGCGCACACACACACACACACACACACACACACACACACACACACACACATTATAAGTCACAGGGTGAAAAAAATAAAAAGTTTAATTCAAACAAAACGATCAGCTGGTTATTTAGCTGGACACGACATCAGTTATAACAACTAGCAACTAAGATTATTTACAGGGTTATCACAGCACAGGTTGTCTTTTACGTTAATTGTATAAGAGAGGTAAAAATTGGAAAGATAAACGAATGTGTGCGAGAGTTACGACAATGGATGAGAATGAAATTGTGAGACGAGATGACCGGAGATCATACCAGCAAAGAGAGCACACTTAATGAATGGTGGGCATGAACCCAGCGAGGATAATCTACTTCTCCTCTTGAACACAGACTAGGGACACACATTCGGGACCCTGCATATCGCACTGTGCTTTGTCCCAGGCAAAACAGTTTCTTCTGTCCGGGTGAGGCAATGCAGGAAGGGGGGGGGAATTCCCACGCTTCAGGCGGGCGCACAGCCCGCACAGAGACGGCGTGGGTGCGTTGCACGGGTTGCACGTCGGGGGGACTCAGCCTGCAGACTGAATCCGAGAGTCGTTTTCGTCGCGCTGTCTCTCTCGCACTCCTCGTGGAGCGTACCGTATAGGTGTGTAGAGAGAGAGAGAGAGAGAGAGAGAGAGAGAGAGAGAGAGAGAGAGAGAGAGAGAGAGAGAGCGGCTCTCGGAGGCCCGGGCCCCCGCGCCGTTCTCTTGCAAAAACAGACGTGGCGGCGGGGCGGACACTGTCGGTCTCCACATTATGCCATTTCGTTGTTCGTTCGGTTCGTTCACACAGGTCAAGGCGGGGAGGTCCTAGCTGCGTGGCCCGGCCGGCCGGCCCGCGACACGACACGCCGCCTGACCCAGTGACCCACCGAGCGTCTTCCAGGACAACGCGCGCACCGCACGCGAAAAAAAAACAAACACTGGGTGGTATTCGAACCCGCGCGGCTACTTGAAGAACAGGTCGGTCCACGGCTTGATGTAGGAGTACAGCAGGCCGCCGCTGGCGGGGTGCGGCGGCCGGTAGTAGCCGTAGTGCGGCGGCCGCGGCGGTGGCGGTCGGTACAGGGGCCGCTGTCCGCCCTGGCCGCCCTGGCCCTGCAGCAGGCCGTGGATCAGGGGGAAGTGCGAGTCCAGGGGACCGGGGTCCGGCGGGTTCTGCAGCTGGTCGCACAGGCTGTAGCCGGGGCCGGCGCTGCCCACCACGGGGTCGTCCTCCACGTCGTCGTAGTCCTCGTGCACGGGGGCGGGCTCCACGGGGATCACGGGGATCACGGGCTGCACCGGCACCACGGGCTGCACCGGCTGCACCGGGACCTGCACCTGCGCGAGGACAAGAAGCACGAGTCAACCGAGTCACTCACTCTCAGACGCCTCGCTCCGAAACTCGGCTGTACACAGTGGGCCAGAAGACCGGTGGAGGTGGCCAAAACTCTAGACGCGGTTTGAGCTCCAGAGTCGCTAAATGGGACTCGAATCGAACGTGTGACCCCACCAATGGGTTCCTCGTTCGGAGAGCAATCCATTGGTGAGGTTACATGCTCGGTTCGAGTCCCATTTAGCAACTCTGGAGCTCAAAACGCGTCTGGAGTTTTGGGCGCCTCCACCGGTCTTCTGGCCCACTGTGCTGTACCTGCGTCTGGGTCTGCGTGAAGGGCGGCGGGGCGTGGCCGCCCTGCTGCGGCGGGTAGTGGTGGTTGAAGCCGTAGCCCAGCTTGGAGCCGACGAGCGTGCCCAGCACGAAGCCGGCCAGCCCCAGCCCCGAGCCGTAGCTGCGGCCGTCCGCCTGCACGCCCTGCACGCCCTGCACGCCTTGCTGCGACGTCGGCGACCCCGGCACGGCGCGGGCGGCGCGGTGCTGCGCCTGCTGCCCCGGCCCGGTCGGCCCGCCCGCCGCGTCGCGCCCCGCCAGCAGGTTGGCCAGGTTGCAGATCTTCTTCCTCTTCTTCTTCTTCCTCTTGTGCTGCTGGAACAGCACGCGGCTGTCCTCCTGCGGCGGCAGCGGCGTGGCGGTGGCCTCCGCGACGGCGAAGCGGTGCGGGGCGGCCCGGGCGTCGCCCGCAGCCGGGCCTAGATGGCCTGGGCCTGGATGGCCTGGACAGACACGGCGAGACAAAACGGGGAATCAGCGCAAGGCCTGCTACACTGTGGAGGCGTCAGGGCGTAAAACTCCCAGCCAGCTGATTCAACGCATTCGGCTGCCTGGAATTTTTTCGCTCTGCTTATGACGTCATTTTTTTTCGGTTTTCGGCCGACTTGGCGGATTGGCAGTGGGGCTAGAGTGCGAGCCAGACGGGGCGGGCGGCGCAGGCGGCGCTGACACCTGCGTCAACACAAACCCGGCCAGCCGGCATGGCGCCTGCGGAGTGCGAGAGAGAAGGAAAAAGAGACAGGGCGACGATGGCAGCACTGCTGTTTGAAATCAATCTATTTCCACTGCGTGCCCCACTGCCGTCATTTTCCGAAGAGAGCCCTCGCACAGTGGGCCAGAAGACCGGTGGAGGCGGCCAAAACTCTAGACGCGTTTTGAGCTCTTAGCGACTCTGGAGCTCAAAACGCGTCTAGAGTTTTGGCCGCCTCCACCGGTCTTCTGGCCCACTGTGCCTACCTGCGTTCCGGTGTTCGTCTTGGTGCTGGTACTGCTGGTGCTGCTGGCCGTATCCTTGGCCCGGGGCGTAGCCTTGGATGCCTTGCCCCGGCGCGGGGCTACCGGCCCTGGAGCCGTCCGGGAACACGACGGGCTTGGGGGAGGCCGACGCCAGGGCGGCCAGGGCGGCCAGGGCGGCCACGACGAGCACCGCTATCCACAACGGACGCATGGCGGCGCTGGGGCATCGGGCGGGGCCGGCCTGAGCCAAATCCAGAAAATGACACACAGTGCAGTAAACGCCTTTTTCGAGTATTTGGCCACGTTTTTCTCACGCGGCTGACGGGCGGTCCCCGAGCAGACAACGCTCGAGAGCTCGAAAGGTGAGCGGCCTGCCTCTCAGGTTCACTCTCGCAGATTACCCAAAGTTTCCGATAACGGGTCGCGAGTAACCTTCGCTATCTGCCTGCAGCGCACACGGCAGCAAGACGCCACGTAAATTTCACTCAAAAGCCGATGGCGCCCTCAGACAGGTGATTCCGGAGGATCGTCTGTCTCTGTCACACTCGCGCGAGATAAGAGAGACAGAGCATGGACTTTCAAACGTTTTCGAACACGTCCATGACCTGCGCACCTAACCCACTCGCACACTTACTCGAGCAATGCCTGCGTCCACGTCCTGGGGGCAGCCTCCCTGGCGGATACCTGTCCGGCTGCGCGCTGCTCGCGCCACTCCAGTGTACTGCCCCGGCCGGTCGCCGGGCTCCAGGATTCCAGTGACTGCAGCCTGCAGGCCCCTCCAGGCCGCGCGGGGATTGCTCCAGACTCCAGGAGGGAAGGGCGTGGGTGGGTGGACTCCAGGGAGGGGCGGGGGGGCAGGGGGGGGGGCTGCATAACTCGGCGGAAATATGCAGCGATAAGGGCGAGGCGAACCCTTTCGGCTGGGCCTTCCCTCTTCGGCCTTGGTCCTGCCTGGCCCTTCCTCGACGTCGACTCCCCCCCCTCCCCCCTCCCCCGGCAGCCAGCCAGTCCCGCCACCTGTTTGGGTTGAACGTCAATCGTTACCCGATGATGGCCGCCTCCGCCTGCGTTTGGCCTGGGCGTACACTGTAGACTGGGCCTGCGATTGCTCTCTCCCCTCGCCTCCGCCTCTGGACCGTCCGCACCGTCTGGATCCGCCCCCTGGCCCGGCCTGGAGCGATTAAGGTGCGTTAACGCGTTCGCCGAACGATGTGGCGAGTCGTTGCCCCGCACGGCGCGGCGGTGGTGTTGTCACGGCTCGCGTGGAGGTTAGGTTGCCCCTTCAGCCGTCAGTTTATTCTTGTGGATTTTGCAAATATTGGGATGAAGAGACCGTTGACATGCCCTACCGCCGACAAAGTTGGGCCTTGCCGTCTTATTCGTGCTGCTTCCTGACTCCTAGTCGTGGAACCTGTCAGTGACTAGTGTTGATTGGTTTTGTTGGTGAATGAACTGTCTTTCTGTTGCAGAGATATGACAAGACACTTAACAATCTGCTCAAGATGCGCTTAAGTATCAAAAGCTTGTGCAAGTTTGGAGTTCTGCTGGTGTGCACTGTTATAGTTACTGTGATTGTTTTCCGCTTTGTGAGAGATCCTCCTTCATCCAGAGCAAATGGACGACGAGAACACCCTAAAGACATTTACATACCAGCTGCTCAACGCTTGAAAGCCGCTGCTGATGTAAGTTCTGTGAAGCTATTGAGCTTTGTATATTGTTCTTGATTTTTAATTTACTTATTCTTCCCTAGGAAAATGTCGAGAGGGTTGACTGGCACAACTACACTTTAATCTACGCCGAAAAGAAACGAAGGGGTAATGTCAATTCGCTTTTCGGCCAAGAATTTCCTGAACTGAAGTGTTGCTTTCTTATGTTTCAGGTAAGGGTGAGCAGGGAGTCAAAGCTTCCCTCTCCTCTAATTATGACACTAATAAGAAGACAGCGCTTTACAACAGCAATGGTTTCAATGCACTACTAAGTGATGAGATTGCTCTTAATCGTTCTGTCAAAGACATCCGTCACAAAGGGTAAGAATAATGGAAATATTATTTATTCTCCTTATTTTAGTGGTGTTCTACATATTTCATTTATCTGTTTTCAGATGTCTACAAAAAATGTACCGCAGCAATCTCCCATCTGTTAGTGTTGTAGTTCCTTTCTATAACGAACATCTCAGCACTTTGTTGCGTACAGCAGTGAGTGTCATCACTCGCACACCACCTGAACTTTTGACAGAAATTATTCTAGTAGATGATTATTCATCTAAATGTAAGTTAATTTATTTGAAATCCATTATTTTGGCCACTTTTTAGTATTTGGGGTTTAATTTTCCTACTTGTACCTTTTCATGCTAACTTGCAGCTGAGTTGGGGGAGCAACTAGACTCATATATAGCCAAGCACCTGCCTCAAGTGCGTGTTGTTCGACTGCATGAAAGATCGGGATTGATCAGAGCCCGTCTTGCAGGAGCCAAGCAAGCCAAAGCTGAAGTTCTTGTGTTTCTGGACTCTCATACTGAAGCCAATACTAACTGGCTTCCACCTTTGCTAGGTGAGATTGCTTCTGTACATGTAAAGCCCCTCACCTTTCAATGTCTGAAAAATCTAACTTTTTTTTCTCCTTATCTGTGTGTATGCACAGATCCCATTGCTGAAGATTACCGAACTTGTGTTTGCCCCTTCATTGATGTGATTCAATACGACACTTTCGAGTACCGTTCACAAGATGAGGGTGCCCGTGGAGCATTTGACTGGGAGTTCTTCTACAAGAGGCTTCCCCTTTTACCAGAGAGTCTTAAAAAGCCAACTGAGCCCTTTGAGTGAGTGATGGTTCTCAATTCATGCTCACATTCATTTTTCCAATTCAAATGTTTGATAACCTATTGATTTTTCTCTGGTTTTTAGGAATCCTGTGATGGCTGGTGGCCTGTTTGCAATCAGTGCTAAGTTTTTCTGGGAGCTAGGTGGCTATGACCCGGGCCTTGACATTTGGGGAGGAGAGCAGTATGAGCTCAGCTTTAAGATCTGGCAGTGTGGTGGCAGGATGTTAGATGCCCCATGCTCTCGAGTAGGTCACATATACAGAAAGTTTGCACCATTTTCCAATCCTGGCAAGGGAGATTTTGTAGGACGGGTGAGTGTTTGGAGGTTACTATCTAAATTTGCAGCTTATTAGAAACAACAGAAATGGCATTGTTGTTATAATGTTCCAGAACTATCGCAGGGTTGCAGAAGTGTGGATGGATGAATATGCGGAGTATCTCTACAAGCGCCGCCCTCATTATCGAGACCTTAATCCTGGTGACTTGACCGAACAAAAAGCTTTGCGGAAAAGGTTGCAATGTAAACCTTTTAAGTGGTTCATGGAAAATGTGGCATTTGACTTGCCGAAAAAGTATCCCCCCGTTGAACCTCCAGACTTGGCTACTGGCAGGGTGAGTCCCATCAAGGATAATTATTTATGTCCTTCATTCATTTAAAAGCACTGTAATATTAACTTTTTTAAAAAAAAATTCCAGGTTCGTAGTGTTGTTGCCAATGATCTGTGTGTTGACACTGACCATAAGACTGAAAGCAAGAAATTTGGTATTTCAACTTGCAACCCTTCAAATAGCGAACAGGTGAACCTCATTGGTCACTCTACTCTACCAACTCCTTATTTTGTCTTCTATACCTGTCTAAAGTTGTATTCTCACCTTTCTTGTAGCTCTTCAAACTGACATGGAGAAATGATATAAGACTAGAAAGAAGGAAAACCCTATGTTGGGATGTGCCTGAACCTGGAGAGAAAGCCGGCGTGACGTTGTATTCGTGCCACGGAATGGGAGGAAACCAACTTTGGCGGTTTAACAAAGTAAGCTTTCAAATATTTCCTCATATGTTGCTTTTCTTTATGTGAATTTGAAATGATACCAAAGAAACAAGCTACATTTGTGTTTTCCCCCTCTTTAGGATAAGCAGTGGCTCATACATGGTGGAAATCAGAGATGTCTAGATTGCGATCCAAGCACAAGGCAGTTGTATGTCACAGAATGTGATCCTAACTCTGAAACCCAACGGTGGATCTTTGAATAGGTATTTTAAAAATAATTCTTACGACCAAATTAAAGTAGCTATTAAAACTGACTTTTGAAGAATGTTGGAATTTGTCCTCAGAGGTTTGGGTTAACTGACTGACCTTGTATAGAATGTGCTACCTCTGATCTTAAAAAAGGTAACTATTATCTGTAAATTAAGCTTTGTTACTCTGCTCAATGTTTTGTGCCAAACGGAGAGAATATCAAGAATGGTCTTGTCTTAATCTTGGAACTGTATAAAAATGTTGATGATTTGTGAAGAAGAAGAAAATTTTGCACAAGTTGTAAAAATTTCTTGAATATTATGTTAAAGGTTAGATTGTTGTCCTAGTCCTAGCTGAATGAGCAACATTATCAGGATAATGTTTCTTTTCAAAAATTTGGTACTGCTATTGGTACTATGTATGTATGTACTTGTATAAAATTGGTATTTAATTTATGTTGCTATACCTTTACTGTGTGTCTGATCAAGTAGAGCAAAGTTTTTATTATCAGCTTTTTGTTATTATAAATTGCATCTTTTTAAAAATTGTTTTGTTTAACACATAACATAATGTGGGGTGCTTAAGGAAATAGTTCAGACTTGCCTACTTTCTTTATTATTTCTATGGAGGAGACTGTTTTTTGTAAAGACTATGGAAATATGGAAAAGAAATGAATTTTTTTCATGAGTCATTTAAACAAGTGTTGTCTTAGTTATGTATCAAGTGAAAGGCACTTTATAATGATTGTGCTGTATTATAATTTTTTCAGTCTATGTGTAAAGTCATTAAACTGTAGGTTTTGTTATCTATGTTACTGTATTAATTGATTCTGTTTTTATTATTGGCTAGTGATCTCTTGAAGATGCTTGTTTTAACTTGGGTTTTGTGAATTCATTTTTGCTGTTTGTATTTAAAAAGGTTTTGATTGGGTACTGTGTACATTTATTGAATCACTGCTCATTGTGATGAATATGTTGCAACTTTTCTGTGATTTGACAATGAAAGATTCGTGAATGTTTCAAATTATGTATTCCTTGCCTGTTTTACTTAACTTATGACAAATTGGAATTTTAGAGATTTGACAGGTAACAAAACAAGTTTCAGAACTTGAGAGTTGTCTGCAGTTTAAATTTTAAAACAGGTTACCGTTTAAATTGTTAAATTTCGACCGGTGAATCTGGTTCTGTGATTGCCTTCCATCCAATGATCTCAGCAAACACTTCTTGGTTGAACGAAGGGAAAGAGCAATCATATGGTGTAACACTTGGTTGATTATTTCACATCTGTTGGAAAGCATTGTATGTGTGAAGGTGCTGTAGCTTATTTCTAATCACCACTGTACATTGGTCAGGAGAAAGAAAGGATTTGTTTTCCATTCTTTGTACACTAAGACTCCATGGGAGAACAATATATTGTAATGAGGGAGATCATGTTAACTGGACCTTATATTCTTACTCTCTTGGACCGAAAAACCTTATATTACAGCAAAGTTTCCCTGTATTTTGTGTATTATGTGACTGATTTGGTCATGGAAAGTGGTGTGTACACTACACTTTTATCATTGTCAACTATTTGTGATTTTGAGGAAACTTGGAAATACAAGTAGCGATAGCTCTACCTGCCATTCATGTGTCTCTGTGATGAAGTATTGATAATTCTTATTAATGAATAAACAACTATGTTAATTTACCACTGCCTTTTGTTTATGTCCATTGGCCCTTGCTCACAATCCGGCTAAAAACTCCACGGAAAGAAAAATTTGGATGACAATAGATAGCCCTCATTCTGTTTAAGAAACTTCTAGCAGAATCTTGTTCGCTGTGAGCTACAATTGTTTTACATTGGTGGTTGCCTAGAGGGGCAGAGGTGGACGTCGTAGGGGGGGCAGCCCCAAGCAGACTACTGGGAACTACCTCGGTGGTCGTAGGGGTGGGATCTGGGGCACTGACTGAGGGGAGGGGAGGGGAGGGTGTGCCGGTGAACCCCGGCACCCCTAGGGCCCAGCCAGCCAGCCAGCCCAGCCCCTGGCCGCGACTAGGCCGCGACGCGACTCGGGCTCATTGAAGTTGCACCCCTCACCTTTTGAAATGGAACCAGCGGGCGGAAGGGGCGGAACCAGGCGCAGCGCGCAGCTCGCAACGGCCGGGCCGGGAAGCAGGGTCGCCCTGGTCGCCCTGGTCGCCCGACCAGGCAAATCAAAAACAATCCAACATTTTTTCAAAAGCAGCGCGCAACAGGCGAGCGGGTTGCCTACTCTCGACTCTGCGGGCGGATCTTGACTTGACTGGAAAGGCTAGACCACAATTGATCTTATGCCGGTTCGGGCCCGGTAACTGCCATGCTTGCGTTGTACAACATGACATACCGTCCGTACAAAGAGCCTGGAAATGGAGTGGTAGGGCTCATGATTGAAACGCACCACGGGCCAAAGAAAGGTAACAAACGCGGAAGAGACGGAAAGAAAATGTACGGGCAGCTTCAAAAAAGTCTGGAAACGACGCTAAAAAATAAAAAAAAAAATATAAAGGGGGCTAGGTTGGCAGTGCTCTTTTTGTTGGAGGAGGAGAAGGCCTGGCGGGCGATGTTTCTTCTCGCTGATGTCTCGCTTTTCGGATGACTGATGTTTGTTGTTGGCGTCCGCATTCATAGGAGTGAACCTAAAGGGAGCCGGAAGAGAAGTGGCGAATCTGAACTCCCCAAACTAACACTCGCCTATACACACGCACACACACTCACTCACACACACACTCACACACACACACACACACACTCACACACACGCACACACACACACACACACACACAACACATACACAGTCGCGCGCACACACACACACACACATACACTCGCGCACAATGACTCCACGTGATTGCGTGACGAACAAGCTCACCGAGCCCCGCACAGCCCTGACCTAGTCTGGAGGGGAGGCGCTCTACTTTCTAGCGGGGGATCTTCACGGGGCGCGGGGTTGATGGCACACACACACACACACTCACACGGACACTCACGCACGTGACCGCGTGGGTGATTCGAGGGTGCCTTGGGCCAGTTACCCAGCAGTTGGCGGCGACGGACGCCTCGGGCTGCGCGAGGGTGCGCCAGGCCGCGCCTCGTCCGCTCGCACCGGAACCTGTTTTCCGCGGGATTCCCTCGGTGGCGGACTTCCCCGCGGATTTTCCCGGCGCCGCGAAGAAGACCGTCTTGGTGCACTTGTCCGCGCGGCCCTGCGCCCGTGTCTGCGTGTCCGAGTGTCGACGGCCCGGCCCAATAATACCCGGCGAGGGCGAGGTCGGGGCAGGACGGCCTGGCCAAGGATTATTGGGTCCGCCTGATGAGAAAATGATTTTTACAACGTGACCGCGGCGGCCGACCAATCAGGGCTGCTGCCGAGGTGGCGCCAAGGGCTGCACGCGGAAAGGTCGCCGTGATAGCAACGCCCCGCCACGCCCCGCAACGCCGCGCCACGCCCCGCCACGCCCCGCCACGCCCCGCCACGCCCCGCCCTGGCCGGTCCGCGATGATGTGGTCGCCGAAGCATGGCGCGGCTCTGACTGCCCCGGGGGCGGCCCCCACGACCTCCACGACGCGGACGCTGTCTCCTCCAGGTAAGCCGCGATGGCCCACTGTGTGGCGGGCCGGCCGGACGCGGACGCACCACTGTAACCGAAGCGTCACTGGACCGTCTCGCTGTTGGCGGCCTTCAGGCTCCCCGCCATGCTGCCCGCGGCCCTGCTGGCGTGCTGCATGTTGCTGACGGCGCGCCCGGCGCGCGCCGCCGTCTCCTACAACTACGACCTGACGAACGCCACGCTGGGTAAGGCACAACCCTGCGCGCTCGATCACAAGTTTTGCATGTGGTGAACCTCACCCGCTCGAACGCGTTGACGTGTTGGCAGCCCTGGTGATCGACGAGCACTTCCACTCGGCCGACAAGGACAAGACGAGCGTGGAGGACTCGCTGCGCGCCTACCTGGGCACCGCCACGCTGCAGTTCCTCAAGCACGGCGGCCTCAACGTCGAGTTCCACAGCATGGCCGACGCCAACCTCCGGCCAGGTCTGTCTCTGTCTCCGTCGCACCCAAAGGGTTCCCCTCAAGGAAGGGTGCGAGGGAGACGGACGGAGTGAGTGACCGCTTTCTCGACCCGCAGACTTGACGGCCGTCATGACGATCGGCAACTGCATCGACACCTGGCGGCTGTACCGCCAGATGGAGGACGAGGGCCTGCTGCACTTCGCGCTCACGGGTACGCTCCTCTGCACTGTGAAACCGCCTTGAGAGTGGAAGTGGAACTGGTCACCCTCTTGCAGACGCGGACTGCCCGCGGCTGCCCCGCCACGTGGGGGTGACGGTGCCGCTGACGGAGCGGGGCGGCGACCTGCCGCAGATGATCCTGGACATGAAGGTGGAGCACGTCCTCGCGTGGAAGAGCGCCAACATCCTGCACGACCACACGCTGGGTGAGTTGGCGGAGGGAGTGGCGGATTTTGCACTGTGCTCTCCTGCGGTGACGCACAGTGGGCCAGAAGACCGGTGGAGGCGGCTAAAACTCTAGACGGGTTTTGAGCTCCAGAGTCGCTAAATGAGACTCGAATCAAACGTGTGACCCCACCAATGGATTCCTCGTTCGGAGAGCAATCCATTGGTGGGGTCACACGATCGGTGCGAGTCCTGCTTAGCGACTCTGGAGCTCAAAACGCGTCTAGAGTTTTGGCCGCCTCCACCGGTCTTCTGGCACTGTGTGACGCCCGGCCTTGCGCCTTGCGCAGACTCCAAGCTGCTGGACCGCGTGCTGGCCGCCCTGACGGCCGACACCTCGGGGGCGCTGCCCTCCACCGTGGCGGCCTTCCACATCCCCACGGAGCAGGCCGACTGGAAGAGGTTCGCTATGAGTTCCACTGCCGCCGCTCTACCGCTGCTTCAGGTCTTCACCCCGTTCTCGCCCTTCTTGTTGTTCTTGTTGTTCTTGCTGTGCAGGCGGAAGCGGGTGGAGAACGTCCTCAGGTCGCTGCCGCTGTCGTGGCTCGGCCAGCGGTTCATCGTGGTGGTCGCCTCCGACATGGTGGGCGTCGTCATGGACGTGGTACGTCCGCCGACTTTGACCCACTCTCGCCATCGTTTTCTTTCCTGTTGTTTCATTTCGTTTCTCGGCTCAGGCCAAGTCCCTCGACATGGTGCACCCGCAGTCCCAGTGGCTGTACGTGCTGACGGACACGTCATCCGCCAGGGACAGCCTGGCCACGTACACCAGCCTGCTGTCCGAGGGCGACAACGTGGCCTTCGCGTCCAACTACACGTCGCGGCAGGCGTTCTGCCAGGTGAGTCCGCCAGGAGTCCTGTCGTGCTTCCCGCCTGCGGGGTAGGCAATGCGCGCTGCTGCGGCACGCCGCTGGCGCGTGGGTTGCCTGCCACGCAGGCGTTCCCGTGGGGTGCGAGAGAGAGAGAGAGGGGGAGAGACAGAGAGAGAGAGAGAGAGAGAGAGAGAGAGAGTCCTCTCCTTGCAGACGGGCATGCTGTGCCACGCCTACGAGATGCTGCACGCCTTCCTGGTGGCGCTGGACCGCTCGGTGCAGGACGAGCAGGACATGGCGACGCAGGTGTCGGACGAGGAGTGGGAGGCGATCCGGCCGTCCAAGGAGGACCGCGTCGTGATGCTTCTGTCCCACATCAAGGTACAGAGACAGACTCTGGCGCAGTGCTGCCGCCAAGTTCCACTGGGTCGGCAAAACAGCGTGTTGCCGCAGGAGCTGCTGCGCTCGACGGGGTCCTGCGGCAACTGCACGGCGTGGCGGCTGCGCGGCAGCGACACTTGGGGGCTGTCCTACGAGAAGGAGCGCTCCGGCGCCATGCGTGCGGCGCCGGTGGAGTCCCTGCAGGACACCGCCGCGCTGGTGGATGACGACGACGGCGTGCTGGAGGACGACGAGCCGGCCGAGTCGCAGGGCAACCTGCTGCAGCACTTGCAGGGCCGGCTGCACGCGCTGCGCAGCCTCAGCAACAGCAGCCGCGCCCGCTGGCGGCGTCCCGGGCGACACGACGCCGACGTCAACGCCGCGTGGTCCGTGGAGGCTGACGTGCCGCCCCAGGACGCCGTCGTGGGGCTGCGGCCGGCGTGGTCGCGGCGCCGCGCCCCCCGCCAGCCGCGCGCTGCGGGCTGGGACCGCTGGGAGAACACCCGCGACGTCCTGACGGAGGACTCGCGCGACGACTTCCTGGACGACAGCCCGTCCGTGGTGCGCAGGCCCGCCAGGCCCTTCGTGCGCGGGCGGCTGGTGTCCGTGGGCTGGTGGCGGCCCAGGGAGGGGCTCACCCTGCAGGACGCCCTGTTCCCCCACGCCGCCTACGGCTTCAAGGGCAGGAACCTGCCGCTGCTGTCCTTCCACGTCAGTCATTTTGAACAGTCCTTTTACTGGCTAAATCGCTGTGTCGGCGAAATTAATCCAACTTCCTGTTTCAGAATCCGCCCTGGCAGATCATCGTGTCGAACAGCACGGGGCACGTCACTGCCTACAAGGGCCTCGTGTTCGAGATCGTCAACGAGCTGGCCAAGAACTTGAACTTCACGTGCGTCCTCAAGGGCTCAGTCTGCTTACAACTTCCGTTGCTTCTTTTTAACCTTGCTATTATTTATTCCTATCTTTTTCCTGCCGTTAGGTACACCGTCATGTTCCCGCACCCCACTGACTACGGCTTCACCAACGACTCCGAGATCTACACGTCAAGGACGCAGGACGGCGACCTGAACAACGCCTTCTCGCTGAACGTGTCGTGGGACAGGATGCTGCAGATGGTTCGCGACAACAAGGTGAGGTGGCAGGAAGCGGCCAAAGATTATGAGCATCGGACCGAACTGCCCTCCTCAGTCAGTAAGTAACGAGTTCCACCATGGTGACGCGCAGGTGTTCCTGGGCGCGGGGGCCTTCACCGTCACGGCGGAGCGCAAGCAGCTGGTCAACTTCACCCGCGCCATCAGCGACCAGCCCTACCAGTTCATGGTGGTGAGACCCAGGGAGCTGTCCCGCGCGCTGCTCTTCATGTCGCCCTTCACGGCCATGGTGAGCACTGGATCGTCTGGTGAGGATGGTGATGGTGATAGCGATGGTGGTGGTGATGGTGATGGTGGTGGCGATGGTGGTGGTGGTGGTGATGGTGATGGTGATGGTGATGGTGACAGACGTGGCTGTCCATCGCCGTGTCCGTGGCCGCCATCGGCCCGGTGCTCCACTGGATCCACCGGCTCAGCCCTTACTACGAGTACCACGGCCAGCGCGGCGGCAAGGGCGGCCTCAACTCCTTGACCAACTGCCTGTGGTACGCGTACGGCGCGCTGCTGCAGCAGGGTAAGCGACACGCGGCTCGCCTTCGCCGGGGGCTCCGCCCGCACACCCTACGCGGTGGTACAATGGGGTGCTCTTACTACTGACACTTGCCTTGTAGGCGGCGCGTACCTCCCCGACGCGGACAGCGGCCGCCTGGTGGTGGGCACCTGGTGGCTGGTGGTGCTGGTGCTGGTGACCACGTACTGCGGCAACCTGGTGGCCGCCCTCACCTTCCCGCGGCTCGAGACGTCCATCACGTCCGTGGAGGAGCTGGTGGACGCCAGCAACGGCCTCACCTGGGGCTTCCGCAAGGAGTCGCCGCTCTTCGAGCACATGAAGGTCACTTTCTTTCGTTTCTCAATGTCGTCGTCGTCGGGGCGTTTTTCGTCAAGTAATCTCTGGTGCCGCAGACCGCACCCATCGCCCGGCTGACGCCCGTTCTGGACGGCGCCGAGCTCCACGAGGAGGAGAACGAGGTGCTGTCGCGCGTGCGCGCCGGCACGCACGTGTACATCGACTGGAGGGTCAACCTGCTGCAGCTCATGAAGAGGGACTTCCACAGCAACGGCCGCTGCGACTTCTCTATCGGTAAACGAGATTTTTCAGAGCACAATGATGTTGTTGTCCTGGTCCTTGACGAACTTGTTTTTGTTGTCCCCAAACTTGGTCTTCGCTGCAGTGAGCGTCCACGACTTCCTGGAGGAAGAGTTGGCCATGATCATGGCCCAAGAAAGCCCCTACCTCAACGTCGTGAACGACGAGTGAGCGCAACTTAGAGTTCGACCGTTTTCGAAAATGTTTATAACATGCTAACAATCAGAATGAGCTTGATTTTTTTTAAACAAATGAATGCGCGGAAATTGTGCTGCAGGATTCGGCGCATGCAGCAGGTGGGGCTGGTGGAGAAGTGGCTGAAAGACTACCTCCCGAAGAAGGACCGTTGCTGGAGCACTTCCAGCCTGGAGGCCAACAACCACTCCGTCAACCTGGGGGACATGCAGGGCTGCTTTTTCGTCCTGTTCTTGGGTATTTTCAGCTATTATTCCAATATTTTTAAAGTATTTTTTTAAATCACGTGTTTTATCCGAAACCTTCCTTTTAGGTTTCATTGTGGCGGCCATGCTGATTCTAATAGAGTGCTGCTGCCGGAGATGGCACACCGCCAAGGACAAGAAGGTCATCAAACCGTTCGTTCCGTGATTCTTTTTTCCAGTGTGGAAAAACACACTCCATGCAAAACATGGTTCGGACGTCATGCGCTTTGGAAAACAATAACAGGTTGTTGTTGTGCAGCGTCCGCGATGTATTGTGTGTGTGAGTGCATGTGTGTGTATGTGTGAGTTTGTAAGTTATGTAAGTGTGAATGCTTTCTTAAAATTTGAATAAAATTGTGTCGAAATGATTGCCGATCTTATTGAAATTATGTGGCGATACAAAAAGACAGTTTACCCAGATAATAACCTTACTTTATTTCAATGAAATGGCAAGGTGCCGCTACCCAAAAGCAAAATGAAAGCAAAACAGAAAAGCAATGTCAATTGGGCCCCCGCAACGGGGACCCAGCGTGACTAGTGGTCACATTCACGCACACAAAACTAGCCAACCACGACAACTGGAACGAAAAATATGGACTTTCACGATGTATGGCACACTCAAGAATCAGTCTTTTTTCCTTTTTTAAGTCATTACAAAAGATCAGTTCAAAATCAGTCAAGCTGCGACAATCTCGGACTCCAAATTATTTCTTTTTCTTTTAGACGTGCGGGGCGTTTGTGGCGGGCGTTTGAAGGGCCTCAACAAATGTGCATGGAGTTGAAGTGCTCGCGGTTCTTGAAGACGGGCCCCCAGGAACCGTAGCTCTTGTTGGCCTGGGCTTGCTTCTGCTTCTCGCGCTCCTTCTCCTGCTGCAGGCGCTGGCGCTCCGCCTCGGCGCGCCGCACCGCATCGTACCCGGCCTTCCTGTTGAAACAGCATAAATGGATTTAGTTTAACACTTACTAACACTTATCGAAAACGGTGAACTCTACTACTACAAGGGATCTTACTTGGCGGCGGGGTCCCTCGTCTCGTAGCTGCGCACAGTGTACCCACAAGCCTTGTCTTCCTGGACCATCTTGACGGATTCGGAGTGCGTGAATGCGACCACTAGTGACCACTTGACGAACCACGGGTTCGAGAACTGCAAAAAAGGAGACATCTCTCGGTGAAATTTGTGTCAGTGTTGCCAATCTGAGAACGGGACGGCGGTTGGTACTCACTCTACGGAACGTGCTGGAGCTGGGTGAGCACCTGAAGTTCTAGACGGTTGCCCGCGTTGCCTCGACGGCTGCCTTTTCGGGTGCTCAAATTCTTGGCCAAACTGGAAAAGAAAGTTCAGAAGAAAACTGTCAGTTCCTTTGTCCCAAAATCAGAAATTGAGTAAAATATCGGCTAAGATACTGTCCCTAATACCGCTTTTCTTTACATTTCTTTTTTTGTAAAAACAAAAAGTAAAATTTGAATTTGACAAACAAAAACAAGTTTGTTTTTGTTCCGGCCCGCTTTGACGCTATCGATGGAGCCGGTCCAACCTGAATGGAAGGAAACCGCCCGGGCACTGGCCGCACTGGCCGCACTGGCCGCACTGGCCGGGGAGAGTCAGTGTCGATATGCAATAAGGAAGAGAGGCCCGCATTTTCGGACCCTGCCTGGGTTTTCTCCAGTATTGGGCCAACTATCTGACAGGTGGAAAGTCCCACACTAGTTTACGACGTAAAGCCTAAAGTTTGCCTCGAATTGAACAAATGAGAATGTTTTAAACTGTTAATATTGTCTTTTATGCTGACCAACATGGTGACCATGTCATGACCGTGTCATTGCTGGAGTAACTCTTGTCTCGATCCTAGCGTATGTTCATCTACGCAAGATAATTTTCGACTTTCAAGGCGTGACACGTGCACCGAGTGGCGTCGCTACTCACCGGACTGTTGGGAGAAACTTGTCTCTGGCATTAAACGATAGAACCTTATTCCTCATTGACACATAAGGGCGCGGAACAACATGGGAAACTGATAGGAGAGTGCGGGCGTGGCGTGCGGTGGCTAGAGTCCGTGCTGCGGCGAAGAGAGTCCAAGAGAGACTGCGAGGACTCCGGGCGCGGCTGCGTGCCGGCTCGGCTCGGGACGTGTCAGCAGACTGATTCCGAGAGTCGTTTTCGTCGCTCTGTGTCTCTCGCACTCATGGGGCGTCCCGTATGGGTGCTAGGGAGACAGAGCGACGAAAACGACTCTTCTGATGCGGCCGGGCTGCTGGACCTGGGCCAGGCTGGCCATGCTGGCCATGCAGGCTGGAGGCGCTGAGACAAGGTGACCGAAGGTGACCGAGGAGGACCCCCTCTCCGGAGAGTGACGCTTTTCCAGTGTGCCAGACTCTTCCAGTTCCAGACCATACTTGTTGTCAGGCAGAGAGCAGGGCTGGCTTACACTATTTCCGGTGGAGCCGGACCGAACGCCCACGACCTAAAATAATTACAGATCGACGGACGTTTTCTGGGGAGCTCTACTGTTGTTAGTTGTCGTCATCAGTGCTTTCTGAAACTTATCATTTCTTGTCGTACCGAACATTCGAACATTAAAGAAAATCTTCCATTTCTGTCAGTGAATTCACTTCCACACAGTGAATAATTTCGTTACACACATCCACTGTATCAGATACAGCAATATCTGCACGTGTGTGTTCAGTACTGGTATTTTTCACCTAGGGTTTGTATGCTTCTCATCTCCTGTAAAAGAAAATGACATCAATGAGGCTCCTCTCAATGTCGAGTTGTTTTCAAAGAGGTGCTTGAAAATTAAAATGCGGCATCTTGTTTTGGTGACACGCGGTGGGGCGCTGACGTTAGCGGCGCCGCGAGTTGCATCAGCCAAGGTGGATGCGCTTGGCTCGGGTTGGCCTGGGATAGAAATCGGCCGAGAAGTGTGTCTCTGAAACGAGTCCAGAGGCGCAAACACAGCTGGAAAATCCAGAAATTTAAGGGGAATTTTTGATAGACTTTGAGGGGCCCCTGCGTCCAATCTACTTGTAGTTTAAGGCCTCCCTCGACGTCAAGGTTTTCTTAAGGCCCCATTCTTTTATGCCTCGCTTCGGAAACGCGTTTATCATAGCAAGTTTGGGAGCACCATCTTCGCAAAGTTGGTTAAAAAGTGATTGAATCTGTGCAAGTATCGGTTTTTGCTGACTTTGAGCGGCCACTGCGTCCAATCTAGCTGAGGTTGAAGGCCCTCCTCGACGTCCTGGTGTTATTAAGGCCCTACCCTTTCATTCCCTGCCTCGGAAACGCTTGGACAGCAGTTAGTTTGTGAGCACCAGTCTCGCAAAGTTGGTCAGAACGAGATTGAATAACTGTAGAAGGTTTTTGAAACCACCAACCCAACGCACCTTCGAGACACAGCTACCGTGGCGACTTCTTTTCGCCGGCCTTTCTCCGTTCCACGCTTGCGTTCGCTGGCGCCTCGGGTTGGAGTATCGTCGGTGTGACGCGGAGTATCGCCACGATGTGCGATGGGTGGCCGCTCTGCGCGCTGTCAGGAGACGCGGGAGCCGGAGCCCGAAGTCCTTTCGAAACGCCTTCAGGATAGGCAACCCATCGTACGGAACGCGCCCGAGCAGTGTGGGTTGCCTACCTCGCAGGCTGCCACTGGCCAGCTGGCTCCACGGGCTGGGGACTGGGGGCGCTTGGTGCTCGGCGAGCCATCAGCTCGCTTCAGTCTCTTGAGATCACTCTCGGTACTGCCACATTGTGCAAGTTATTTGAGCAAACATGATTCCTTGATTTGTTTTTCGGAGCATTACTTGGTGCTCAGAGCTGTGCTCTACTAACGTTCTGCAATTGATTTTTCTCGGAGTAAACGGTTAGAATTTTACCGAGTTTGCTCACTTGCACATTTTACAACGTAAAGGCTCATCAGTGCCACGAGTACAGCAGGGCAGGGACCTCTCTGTACAATGCGAAAAAATCGATTGAACTCATCACCAAAAATAATTATGGGTCCTGTCTCCCTCTTTAACACGCGACGATCCGCATTCCATCCACTGGGAAGTCGTTGGCATAGCCGTTGGGGCCGTTCGGGTCGTCCAGGATGTCCCAACCGTTTTGCTCCTTTTCGAGAGGGCCTCTGGGCCCCTCGGTTTGACATCGCGGCGATGCGTATCCGGTAAAGCGGGACCGGTCGCCCCTCGCCTCGCCATTGGCGCTTGCGGCTGGGGGCTCGGCCCCTCTCTGTCTCTCTCGCACTCATTGGGTGTACCGTATAGGAGCGAGAGAGACAGAGCGACGAAGACGACTCTTGGAATCAGTCCACAGGGCGGCAAGGGTGGACGACGAACCAGTGTTGCCACACAAGTGGACGAAAATTCGAAAGGGTTGCCATCCTCAGCCTGCCTGCTGAAGCAGGATGGAGTCTCGAACGATCCCAGGTCGACCAGGCCGCAACCCGCAACTCGCCGTCCCCAGAGCTCAGAGCAGTGTTGGGTGAATCCGAGGACCGTGTCCAAATCAGCTGGAGCCGAAGTAGGGACTGAAGCTGGACCCGAGGCTCGGACACAGGCGGGGCGGCGGGGCCACGGGGTCGCCGCGCGTCTCGGCAAAACAAAAGCAAAGCACTTGGCGGGGCGGGGGGTGAGGAGGAGTGGGGGGATATTGAAAGGGAAAGGATGGCGCCCCGCCCCGCCGCGCCCCGCCGCGCCCCGCCGCGCCACGGCGGGATGTGGTGGCAGTGTGCCGTCTGCCTCGCTGCCTCCAGTCGAGTCCCGCCCACGCGCGGCGCAGCATCCAGTGTAACGGCGCCGACGGCCTCCTCGCCGACGTGCTGCACACAGTGCGCCCGGCCCCGCCACACGGCCACGCCATGACGGCGTGCTCGGCCTGCTCGGCGTGCTCCAGGTCAGTCAGAGTGCCCGCCCTCCCGGCGCGCCGGGGCCCCGGAGACTTCCACGCGGGAGGCGGCCGGTAGGAACACGTGCAACTCCGCGAGGTTGCCGACGCGGTCCTCCGCCACGCCGCGGAGCGGCGCCTCCCGGATCATCGGTCCACTGCGCTCACCCAGGATACGCTGATTTGTTCCTGAAGGCCCGACTGTTGTCGCACGCTATTCTTGAAAGTCTTGACTACAGCCAATGTCACATTTCGTCGAGCTTCGTCGTGGCTTTTAAAGGCAACGAGATGACACCCTTGCTCTGCTTTTAGGGAGACGGATGAGTCAGGTCACACTACACTGTAGCGGCAGGCTGCCTATTCTTCCAGGCGCCATTTCGATATGGTTCTATTTTTCGTGCACGTTTTTTTTCTTTCTGTCTCTCTTTTTCTTTCTGTGGGTCGGTGCCGGTCGTGCATTCGGTGTTACTGCGTTCACTGCGTTCCCACGGCGGGGCGGGGCGGTACGGTGAGAGCGTTACGTTAGGTCAGTGTGTCTGCAAGGCGCCGCATCGGGAGCACGCATGGATTACAATATTCTCCCCACTAATGATCCCACTTTTTTTTCGGTGCACGTACTGCTCCGAAGCAATGAAACACCAGTGGAGTGCCGAAATCATAATGCCTCTCGGGCCGCTGCGGCAGGCCAAAAGTTCCTGTGGCAACCGTTTGATTTGAATAATTTAAATATACGGTCCGTACCTCTCGTCGTCCACACCAGATACTCTCTGGCATTTTCGTTTTCGACGCCTCTGCCCGGTCCATTTTCTTTTTCTTTTCGTCATTATTGTTGTTCCTTGTCGCCGAGGCGTCGAGGCGCGGGGCGGAAGGGGACCGACCGCCTGGCCCATTACCCGCCACCCAGAAGCCGTCGCGCTGTCTCTCTCGCACCCCCGCGCGCCCTGCGGACCGTAGCGCAGCGCCCCGTGAGTGCGAGAGAGACAGGGCGAATCTGAAGGTCAACTTTGACAGGCCGGCGCACAGTGGGCCAGAAGACCGGTGGAGGCGGCCAAAACTCTAGACGCGTTTTGAGCTACAGAGTCGCTAAATGGGACTCGAACCGAACGTGTGACCCCACCAATGGATTCCCCGTTCGGAGAGCAATCCATTGGTGGGGTCACACGTTCGGTTCGAGTCCTGTCTAGCGACTCTGGAGCTCAAAACGCGTCTAGAGTTTTGGCCGCCTCCACCAGTCTTCTGGCCCACTGTGCGGCGTCGCGTTCGGCCGTTCGGCACACGCGTGTTAACAGCGCCCCGCTTTGCCTCCGCGTGCCTCCGCGTCGGGGGCGAAGTGGCCTGGAGGAGCGCGGCATAGCGCCAGGTCCAGCGGGAACGCACAAAGTTCAAAGCGCTGGCCGTGAAACGGAAAAAGTTTCTCGGAGCGGGTCGCTCGCAGTGCACCTACGGCACCTACCCGTTCCACGCGTAATGTAACGTTCGTGCGTCACGCCGCGGGGTCAGGCCAGCAGTGTCACGTTAAAAATGGAGAGCTCTCCGCCGAACAGCAGCAGTGAGACCATCCACCAGTAAGGAAGACTCAGTTGTGGCGAGGCGCTGAGAAAAGACTCAGTTGAGGCGGCCCGTTCGAGGAAGACTCGGTTAGGTATCCAGCCGCAACTGAGTCTTTCTCGAACGGGCCGCCACAACTGAGTCTTTTCTAAGCGCCTCGCCACAACTGAGTCTTTCTTACTAGTAGGTAGTCTGTGTCAAAATAGACGTCCAATCGACGTCCAATCGACTCATCGATCTGAAGCCGACGACGTTTTCTCGCGGTGTTCTCGATAAGTGGGCACTCGGGCGGCCCTTGCATCGCAAAAGGTCGGCTCGCTTCGGCTCGCTTCGATTCGGTTGGGATCGGTTTCGATTCTCGTTTCGATTCTCGGATTGGGTCCTCGGCTCGCTGACATTTCCAAGCGAAGACGTACCCGCGACCCGCCCTACTCGCGTGAACAGCGTGAAAAGCAGCCCCACCGGTCCGTCGTGGGTCCGTCCTGGGCGTTCGAACGCGTAACCCAAAGTCGCAGCCCGCTGGTGGTGTGGCCATTTGGATGGGACAAACTTGGCCCAGCCGGTCGGACGCAAAGCTCTTGGCGCACTCTCGGATAAATTAGCAGTGACAGCTGGCCATAATGCGGTAATAATGCCAGACTGGTGGAACGCCATAGCCATAATGTAAACTTGAATTA